GCTATGTTTAGATTTGTATACATTTTGTACAAATCATTAGACAGCTATGTTTAGATTTGTATACATTTTGTACAAATCATTGGACTGCTATGTTTAGATTTGTATACATTTTGTACAAATCATTAGACAGCTATGTTTGGATTTGTATGTATTTATACAGAGCATTGGACTGCTATGTTTAGATTTGTATACATTTTGTACAAATCATTAGACAGCTATGTTTAGATTTGTATACATTTTGTACAAATCATTAGACAGCTATGTTTAGATTTGTATACATTTTGTACAAAGCATTAGACTGCTATGTTTAGATTTGTATGTATTTTATACAGAGCATTAGACAGCTATGTTTAGATTTGTATACATTTTGTACAAATCATTGGACTGCTATGTTTGGATTTGTTTGTATTTTCTACAAGGATTGGACGGCTATGTTTAATAATGATCATATCCTCAAAAGTATTATTACTCTTTGTTGCGACATGTTTAATACATAATATATACATTGTTTGTGTATAAAGTGAACCTTTGATATTACATTATTTCCAAATTAATTGAAGAATTTTCTATTATACAAAGTTCAGATATATAACACACTGGGGTAGTTAATCATTAGAATAGTTTACAAAATTATATGCTACTGCTTTATTTGGTTTAAAAAATGACTATCTGAAATGTATCAATTTCAATTATATTAATAAACAGCTTAATTAATTCTTTCACCCCTATATATTTACATTCTGTATGCTTAGACCCATTGACAAAAATTACATTCATAAATGCATAACACAGGTGTTCATAGAATCTCAGCACGTGGGAACTGATAGTAACCTGATCACACTGCGTAGTAATACACTACAAAAACTACTCACTCGGAACGACCGACCTAGATGCTTAATTCTTACATCTTAAAATATTATTGAACTGTGCTTTGTGAAATATCCACGTATTCACGTGTCCTGTGCTACAAATAAACATTGAATATGGAACTACATTTTGTTGTGTTATTGTTGTTGACGGTTGCTAAGATCTCTCACGATAGTGTCACATTTCCCCGCGAAAAAACACTGTTCTCGCCACTGCGTTGCACCCGTGTATAAGCAGGAACAAACCCTGTTTATTTGTTTTATTCGTTGTTATATCGATCCACTGAAAGGATTCGTCAATGTAAATATAAGGAATGATATTTATTTTTTCAACATTTATGAGGTCATAACAACAATGGGTTTTTGGACATATTTTACATGAATCGCTAACGCGATTCATTCAATATGTCCATAAACCCATTGTTGTTATGACCTCATAAATGTTGAAAAAATAAAAATCATTCCTTAAGTAACTTTAGTAGACTCGACCATGCATTGATCTGGTTGAGTCCATTATGGTCTACAGTGGTGAAAGGCTTAACTATCAAAATACTGGGAGAAGCAAGATAATTACAACCTCATTAAATACATTTCTACCGATTTCCAGTGGTATATATGTGACTGATTAATTTTCAAACTAAGTTTTTTGAAGTCGTTAAGAGTGAATGTTCCACTAAAATACTCTTTTTTTCTCTCAATACTTATGCAAAACATTCATTTTATATATGTCTCAAAACTACTTCAATTAGCTTTAAGGCAATACCAATACAACGTAAGTACTGAAACATAAGATGAGAATGGGAAGAGGGTAAATCAGGGCTGCATTACCTCCCTTTAATGTCTGTTAAAACACCCTTTCCCAATTAAACAAATTCCATTTTTTTTAAATTCAGAATAATTCTATATCCTCCTTTATATATCACAACATTGACATTTGAAATTCTTAATTTTCCTAGATTTGAAGATTTCCTGAAGGTGGATCCCAGGGTACATTTTCCAAAATACCATGATAAATCCCTCTAAAATAATTTGGATGATGATGATGATGATGATGATGATATATTTCGTATATCATAAATAATAAAACTGAGACAAAATAAACAAATAACACACATCATATCATTCTAATGTATAGGTCCATTGATAAGATCAGACCAGACTTCATTTTGATCTCTTTAATTTGTTGATTGTGGATTTCTTCGAATGCAGTATCTTATTATTTGTATTTCCATATGGGACAACTTGCCAAAGGAACCAAATCGTTTTCAATTTAAGAAATAAAATGTTTTTGCATCTTTTAACTTCTTACCTTTTAAAGATGGAAGTATTGATTTTGTGGTGATGTTGGCAGAAAGTGACTTAAATTGTCAATGGGCCGTAAAATAAAACGAAAGCAAGCTAGCTGGGAACGAGTAGTAAAATGTGTTGTGGCGTATACAATTCTACTAAATATTAATAGAGCTATCACTAAAAAGCAAGTCAACAAGACAAGGTAACAGACTGTAGGTATGAGCTAGTACAGCTAATAGATGGAGGCCTTTAAAATTAACCCTTTCATCCCTATGTAACTTAAGTAGACTCTACCATGCATTGATCTGGATGTGTCCATTATGGTCTACAGTGGTGAAAGGGTTAAGCATGCTATATAATATGACACAGATTTTTCACGACTGCGTTACATGAACACATACTGCAATAGACTTGTGACTCTGTAATGGACAGGACGAGAGCGAACATATACTCTATCTAGCTAGTGACTATGTAATGGACAGGACGAGAGTGAACATATCCTCTATCTAGCTAGTGACTCTGTAATGGACAGGATGAGAGTGAACATATACTCTGTCTAGCTAGTGACTCTGTAATGGACAGGACGAGAGGGAACATATACTATATCTAGCTAGTGACTCTGTAATGGACAGGAGGAGAGCGAACATATACTCTATCTAGCTAGTGACTCTGTAATGGACAGGATGAGAGTGAACATATACTCTATCTAGCTAATGACTCTGTAATGGACAGGACGAGAGTGAACATATACTATATCTAGCTAGTGACTCTGTAATGGACAGGACGAGAGTGAACATATACTCTATCTAGCTAGTGACTCTGTAATGGACAGGACGAGAGTGAACATATACTCTATCTAGCTAGTGACTCTGTAATGGACAGGACGAGAGTGAACATATACTCTATCTAGCTAGTGACTCTGTAATGGACAGGACGAGAGTGAACATATACTCTATCTAGCTAGTGACTCTGTAATGGACAGGACGAGAGTGAACATATACTCTATCTAGCTAGTGACTCTGTAATGGACAGGACGAGAGTGAACATATACTCTATCTAGCTAGTGACTCTGTAATGGACAGGACGAGAGTGAACATATACTCTATCTAGCTAGTGACTCTGTAATGGACAGGACGAGAGTGAACATATACTCTATCTAGCTAGTGACTCTGTAATGGACAGGACGAGAGTGAACATATACTCTATCTAGCTAGTGACTCTGTAATGGACAGGACGAGAGTGAACATATACTCTATCTAGCTAGTGACTCTGTAATGGACAGGACGAGAGTGAACATATACTCTATCTAGCTAGTGACTCTGTAATGGACAGGACGAGAGTGAACATATACTCTATCTAGCTAGTGACTCTGTAATGGACAGGACGAGAGTGAACATATACTCTATCTAGCTAGTGACTCTGTAATGGACAGGACGAGAGTGAACATATACTCTATCTAGCTAGTGACTCTGTAATGGACAGGACGAGAGTGAACATATACTCTATCTAGCTAGTGACTCTGTAATGGACAGGACGAGAGTGAACATATACTCTATCTAGCTAGTGACTCTGTAATGGACAGGACGAGAGTGAACATATACTCTATCTAGCTAGTGACTCTGTAATGGACAGGACGAGAGTGAACATATACTCTATCTAGCTAGTGACTCTGTAATGGACAGGACGAGAGTGAACATATACTCTATCTAGCTAGTGACTCTGTAATGGACAGGACGAGAGTGAACATATACTCTATCTAGCTAGTGACTCTGTAATGGACAGGACGAGAGTGAACATATACTCTATCTAGCTAGTGACTCTGTAATGGACAGGACGAGAGTGAACATATACTCTATCTAGCTAGTGACTCTGTAATGGACAGGACGAGAGTGAACATATACTCTATCTAGCTAGTGACTCTGTAATGGACAGGACGAGAGTGAACATATACTCTATCTAGCTAGTGACTCTGTAATGGACAGGACGAGAGTGAACATATACTCTATCTAGCTAGTGACTCTGTAATGGACAGGACGAGAGTGAACATATACTCTATCTAGCTAGTGACTCTGTAATGGACAGGACGAGAGTGAACATATACTCTATCTAGCTAGTGACTCTGTAATGGACAGGACGAGAGTGAACATATACTCTATCTAGCTAGTGACTCTGTAATGGACAGGACAAGAGTGCACATATACTCTATCTAGCTAGTGACTCTGTAATGGACAGGACGAGAGTGAACATATACTCTATCTAGCTAGTGACTCTGTAATGGACGGGACGAGAGCGAACATATACTCTATCTAGCTAGTGACTCTGTATTGGACAGGACGAGAGCGAATATATACTCTATCTAGCTAGTGACTCTGTAATGGACAGGACGAGAGCGAACATATACTCTATCTAGCTAGTGACTGTAATGGACAGGACGAGAGCGAACATATACTCTATCTAGCTAGTGACTGTAATGGACAGGATGAGAGCGAACATATACTCTATCTAGCTAGTGACTGTAATGGACAGGATGAGAGCGAACATATACTCTATCTAGCTAGTGACTCTATAATGGACAGGATGAGAGCGAACATATACTCTATCTAGCTAGTGACTCTGTAATGGACAGGATGAGAGCGAATATATACTCTATCTATCTAGACGATGAGGCCACTGATGATAGGGAGCGTGAGCACCATTTAGCTGTACACCTACTACAGAGACCAGAAAGCCAGCAAGCATGATATAAATACATAACAGGCTTACCATGTGTCAATTCTTCCTCTGTAGAAATCAAATAATAGCTTGTCAGATCCTCACATATTTATTTTTTCAGAGATCAAAAAAATAAATTTGAACTGCTTGTTCATAGAATATAAACAGTAGCTTTCTGCTTAAAAGTTTGTATTAAATGTTGAATTTTCTCAGATTCTCACATATTTATTTTTTAACTGCTTGTTCGTAGAATTTAAACAGTAGCGTTCCCCTTTAAAGCTTGTATTAAATGTATACCCTTTAAAGCTTGTATTAAATGTATACCCTTTAAAGCTTGTATTAAATGACTACATGTATTTTATCTGTTGTCCGACTTCACAGCTTTGAGTTTTAGTGTAATTTTGTTTGTGCTTGTGTGAAACAAAAGAGAAGCTTATTGCGTTGAACTTCCAGTTTTAATATTGACTCAGATCTGAGAGCTCCATACGTACTGGTTGTTATTGTCCTTTTCTTCACCAGACCAAGAACATCCAAGATGGAAGCACCGGGTTTTCTCCTCGGGTCTGTATCTTCTGAAAAATAATTCTCGATAAAATTTACAGGCAATTTTGAGTTTATTTTGGGACATTTTAAGTACCTTTCTTTATTCAACTATCTGGATCAGTCCTTATAGAAATTGATAGAAAAACCTTTTCTGAATCTATTGTTTGTTACCAGATCTAGATGAAATATGGCGAGATATCTATATAATTGACCACGACACCTGAGTCGTTGGTCATTACACAGGCAAAATTTCTTTAAGTAAATTCAGGTCAATTTTACTTAGAAAAAGCAAAAAACACCATCAATTTCAGGTGAAAATTGACCTGAAATTGACTTGAATCAGGTGAGTTTTAGGTCAGGGTGTTTTTTTCAGGTCAAATTTATAAGAAGAAATTTTGCCAGTGTATGATCACTGAATTGGTTCTGGTTCTCGAAAAAAAAACAACACACTTATATTTCTGAATTTCCTGCATACTTTTATTTCATATGTTTTCAGACACCTGTAAATAACGTTGAGAAATATTTTGACTGTAATATATATATTTTAGGATATTTTAACTGTACCCTCAACATTTATCTTTTTGAATTTAAGATCCAACGAAGCAAAAAATGTAAAATAACACAATTCCTCAAACCTGTCCTGCTTTGTTTATCCTAACACTTATAATATGGTTGCCCTACTATCCTGCCAGTGTTTTAGGTACTGACAGGTGTTTAAGGAGACAGACTGGCCTTTTTCTTATGTAAAAGTACCCCAGTGATCAAGCCTTTTTCCCAATCAATCTCACAATCCAGTCCTTTTTTTTGAATTAATGAAATCTTTTGAAGATGATCTGAGAGAAGATCCTGGTATCAACTAGATAATTGGTGAAGTTTGGTTGTATGAGCACTAGCTTACCATCATATCCCTCCTCAGACATAGGTAAGTCAGGTTTGGACAGGTAACATGTCCGCTTCATACAGTACACAAGGTGGTTAGCTGTAATTCAAGTTCATAACAATATATATACAGGTGTGGTATTAAATGACTCTCAGTGTACATGGTATCACCTGGTTCTGTTATACAGGTGTGGTATTAAATGACCTCAGTGTACATGGTATCACCTGGTTCTGTTATACAGGTGTGGTATTAAATGACTCTCAGTGTACATGGTATCACCTGGTTCTGTTATACAGGTGTGGTATTAAATGAC